CCCCAAAACCCCAAAACCCCAAAACCCCAAAACCCCAAAACCCCAAAACCCCTTTGGAATTAGACAGGTTGAAATGTTTTGTGGCAAATTTTAGCTTTAATATTCGAAATTGATTAGGCTATGTTGCATCCTCAACGGTTGAAAATACTGTCCTTCCCACCCCTCTGGTCACCCACTCCTCCACTCCCAACCTTGGGCCTCTGCCCCAAGCTCAACTTCCTACTACACAAACTATTCATTTCTTCACCATAAGCTGAGTTCTCAGGCGATCAGTTGTACTCTTTCCTACATTTTGTGCGTACAGGATTAGAAGGGATTCGTGCCTGTAGGAAGGATTAGGGGGTTAAGAGGAAAGTTTACCTGGCAAGGGAGAGTGGGTGGGTGAGCGATGCGACGGGGTTTTAGGGAGAGGAGGGTTTTTGAGATGGTGCCGTGAGGGGCTCTGTGGGGGGCTCTGTGAGGGGCTCTGTGGGGGTTGGGTGAGGTTTGAGGCTTTGGTTTGTGGGTGGAGGAGGGGGGATAGCCTGGGTTTTGGGGTAGGAAAGTTGGGAGAAAGTGGACATTTGACTTGCAATTGGTGGATTGATTGGGATGGGGTATGATAGAGGGGATTTGGGTGATATTGGATGCATTAAAGTGTCCTGCCATTGATTTTGGGATGGGATAATGCATTTTTCTACTGCTTTTTGAGTCTCAAACCAAATTATGAAGAATCTTATCAACAGGGACATAGTTATCCTGGGTTGTTGAGGCCTTCCTATACTCTCTAAAGCTTTGCAATGAGTCTTCTGGAGTGGAAGGGTTTGTTCTCTTTGAGCAATCTTCAGTTTTTACTCCTACTTCAACCTCGCCAGTTGTAATGTTTAAACTAATAAACTTTCTCTGGTGAGGTGATTCTTCAGAAAGATTCTCTTTATTTTCAATTTTTGGAGTATCTTTATTGGATGAAATAATTACTTTTGTTTTCTGTGTTGAAGGAACACTTGAAAGTAAAACTACTCTACTCGAGTCAAACACTTCACACCTGCCAGTATTCTTCGAGAATGAGTTATTTAACTACAAAAGAGTTCTTGTGTTCGTTATCTCCACCACTCTTCCTACAGAAACTTCTTCTTCTTAAATTCCGTACTCTTTTACCTCCCTAAACCCTCAGTTAGTACAAATTACATCTCTAGAACCTACATTTTTGCTGCTAGAAACACTATCTGATTCTTGATAAGCCTTCGTTAGGCTCAAGTTTCTGACCCCTTTCTTTCGAATCAGCGCTCTCTTGTTAATACCGACCAGATTTTTCATCTTCTTGTAATTAACGGCTAATACATCTATAAAAACCGGTAAGCACCCCGCTGAGGCCTTAGAGGACTTACTCTTCAGAGAAGTGGGATTCTTGGAGAAACTCTCTCTGATGTTATTCAAAGAGATATTGGATAGTTTCTTCTTAGGGCACCCTTCCTGGAAGTCGATGTATTCTCTGATAGGGATCACGTAGCTCTTCTGAGTCGTTACTTTTGGAGATTTGGTGGTGCTTGTAGGTCTGTAGGGGGTATTAGTGATGAATGGGGCATTTTAGGGGAGGAATTGGTTGTTTTGGGGGATTTGGAGGGTGAGAGGGAGAAGATGATTTTGAGTAGAAAAAGTCGAATTTTTGAGAGTGGATAAAGGAATTATTGGAGTAGGAGGTAAAGGAACTATTGAGTTATGCTCTTAGAGTCCTTTTAGAAATAATTTAAGTGCTGTTTGTTTTTTGCCAATCTAATAGAATTTGCAAATAATCCCCTCAAAATATTAGAATATACCAATCTAAACTTATAAGCCTTACCTATCCTTTACATAAGACCTCAGCTGCTTAAAATCTTTAAATCCATCTGTATTCAGGCATGCATTTTGCAATATTTTGCTTTTCACATTTTTCATCTAAAAATCATTAAAACCTCCCAAAACCACTTCCAAAATTTCCAAAAGATCTTATCTCCCTCTCACTGTCTCTCAAAAGCTCTCTCCAACTCACCAACCCCCAAACCCCCCACTCTACCACCCAAAACTCACTTTCATCTCAATTTTACCCTATTAAATTTTATCTAAATTCAGTATAAATTTTAATTTAAGGGGTTTTGGGGTTTTGGGGTTTTGGGGTTTTGGGG